TGTGCGTGTGAATGTGTGTGTTGGTGTGTGAATGTTTGTGTTGGTATGTGTGTGAATGTGTTTGGAGGTGTATGTGTGTGTTGGTGTGTGTGAATGTGCGTGGTGTGTGTGTGAATGTGTGTGGTGTGTATGTCTGGGAGTATATGTGAGTGCGTGAGGTGTGTGTGAAGAGTATATGAGAGTGTGTGTGTGCATGTGCAGTTCAAGTGAATGTGTATAGGTTTCTTGTTCACAAAGTCGTGGAACTGGTGTAAAGATCATAGCTGAGTTGAAACGTAATACTTGTTATCTGAATTTAGCCTCAGTCATTTGGTTGGAGCTTAGGGTGACGAACTGTCCCAGGTTATCCAGAACAGAGAGGTTTTCTGGGTTATGGAACTTTCCGTTTATAAAATCTGAGTAGTTGGTCACCTTAGTGATAGCAATAGATAAAGGGTACAAATTGTGAAGAGTTGTATGTTCGAAGGGTGCTTGGTGGATAAGGAAATAGAAGAAAACTCGGGCAGCTGAATAGATACGGAAGTCAAGGCTGAAGATCTTTAAAACAGAGGGAGTGGCCAACAGTGCCCCACCCTTAAGGGTTTCAGAGGCAATGGAGACTCAGGCCACAGGTTTGACTTTTAAAAATATTATTAACTTATTCAGATCAGGACTTATTAGGCATGTTTTTTAATTATTTAGCCTTCAAAAAACAAAACAAAAAAATTCTGCCATTGGGTACAATTAATGCCATCAGTGCCAGAAACGTAAATTAGAATATAGACACAAAACTTAGTGAAATAACTCCTGAAAGATAAAATATTAGGCAAAGGTGTTTGAATCACTTAGCAATTTGATTAGATAACAAAGAGGTTAAGACCATTTCTTGTAGTATTTGGAGTTATTTAATTTTTATTATGTTAAGATAAATCTCGCATAAAGCTTAACAGATCTTAGTCAACTCTTATGAGTAGAGTGTGAGTGTTAGGTGCTATTCCACTGAGCAGTGATATGAGGGAAGAACGGGCCTATGGGGTCTTAGTATTTTCTGCAGGTCACATTGCCACTCCCTCCCTGCCAAGCATTTCCATCACTCATGGTCTCAGCCGCACTCAGGGCCGCCAGCCGTAATCTACTATCCAACTACTGGTTTGAATAAACCACTGATTTATTTGCACTCTCTAGAGCTGTAGACAGGAAATGCAAACAGCAGCTTTCCCTCGGGAGCGCTGGATGTAATGGGACCCTTTTCTGTTTTGCATCCTCAGGCTCTGATGGGAATCTCTGAGGATGCTCAGTGGAAAATTTTTTTTTTTCTCTCAGCCCTGATCTCTCCTAAATGGTTCAGTAAGACCGAGAGAAAAGGATTCTGTCCTGAGTTCTCTGCTCCCCATGGCGAAGGAACTAGAGGAAGAAGATCAGGATTAAAACATTGTTTTTAGAGGATAGGAGTTTTAATTGTGCACATTTGAGGTTTAGGGTACATGCCTGACTCCACAGTACATAGACCACCACTCAGGAATTTTCCACATTGTAATTTAATCCAGTATTCTTTTCTAGCCTGTGTACTCTTGGAGGGTAAAATTTTTGTTGAGTTGATCTTTACTAAAAATGCATTAAGAAATGAATTTTCATTGAATGAGTAAATGCACTGATCTTCATATGGTGGTTTACAATTTGTTATAGACATATATTATTTTATTTGAGTATCACAGCAACCCTGTGTAGTGGATGTTATGATTATTTCTGCTTTCCAAATGGGAAGACTGAGGCTCAGAGAGGTTTAGTGACTTTCCCAGGATCACACAGAATGGGGACTGAAGTCTAGATCTTTGACACAAAGGGTAGGTTCTTTCTACACACCACACTAGGCGTTTCCCATCATTATGCAACAAACCAGCCTGTTGCTTAGTCATCTAAAAAGAACACAAAAATACAAACATTGCCCTGTTGGATCAAATTCACAAGGAGAACCACAGCTTAGAGTTCAACTTCAACAGAGATGGTTTATAGAGGCACGACTATTTCAAACTTATTTCAAACTCATTGTTATCAAGTGAGTAGCTTCAAGGCAATAGCTTTCAAAGCGTTAGGTAGAAACAAAATTTGGGCTCTATGTCTGTCCTTAGCAGGTGGGAGGCAGGGGAGTAGAACATTAGCTTTTTGTTTATTTGTTTGTTTGTTTTTCTTTACAAAGAACTAGTGGATTGTGTTTTAAAGATTGCACAGGGACAGAGAAAAGCTGGAGAAATTGAAAGTGGCAAAAATATTGGGAAAGTTCCCACGTTCAAAACATGGCAAAAATTCATGAAAAAGAATGAGTTCATATCCTTTGCAGGGACGTGGATGAAGCTGGAAACCATCATTCTCAGCAGACTAACACAGGAACGGAAAACCAAACACCACATGTTCTCACTCATAAGTTGATGTCGAACAATGAGAGCACATGGACACAGGGAGGGGAACATCACACACTGGGGCCTCTCCGGGGGTGAGAGGGATAGCATTAGGAGAAATACTTAATGTAGATGATGTGTTGATGGGTGCAGCAAACCACCATGGCACATGTATACCCAAACCTGCACATTCTGCACATGTATCCCAGAACTTAAGGTATAATTAAAAAAAGAAAAAAAATAACATGGCAAAAGTTGCCACAATAAGTATCCCTGGTTTTGCAATGAAGTGTGACTGGGGCCTGGGGAATGCTGTGCCTTCAGGGGCAGGAGAACATGCCTGAGTGAAGGGTCTGCAACTGCAACCTGGGGGCAAATCTGACCCACGGATTCTTTTTGTTTTGTATAGCCCACGAGATCAACTCAACAAAAATTTCACCCTCCAAGAGTGCACAGCTGGGAAAGAATGGACATGGCTGTGTTCCAACAAAATGTCATGTCATGAAATATTAATATTTTTCAACCATTTAAAAATGCAAGAAGCATTTATTAAAATGCATTTTAAATGGTTGAAAACATTAAAGGAAGAATAATATTTCATGATCTGTGAAAATTATATGAAATCCAAATTTCAGTGTCTGTAAACAGAATTTTGCTGGAGCAAACCCACGTCCATTTATTTATTTTTTGAATCACCATGGTGGCTTTTGTGCTGCAACAGAAGAGTTGAATTCTTCTGGCAGGGACTGCATGTGGCCCACAAATCCTAAAATATTTACTCTCTGGTCCTTTACAGAAAAAGTTTGCTGACCCCTAACCTAGTGCCTGCTAGGTTCAAATAGACACTCAGATAACTGTCGGGCAACTAAACTGTGGAATACTAGATGTCTTTCATTTTTGACATAGGAAGGGAACAGGAATCCAATTCTTAAGGCCACCCTATACTTTTCACCTGCCACTTGGATGACTGAACTACTGGATCTGTGACCATGTTCTGCCACCAACTCTTTGGGACTATAAAGGCTAAGCCTTCTGCGTGCATCTGGCCCAATCTGGTCTGTACTTTTCATATCTGGCCTGCTTTAAATATCCTCATTCTAGATGCCTCTCAGACTCACTCCACTTCCTTTTAGAATACTAACAGCTAACATCTATTGACTGCTTATTCTGGGTCAGATGCTGTGTGCTAAACACTTTACCCCATTCATCTCTCAGGATGAGATAACCCTAGGAGGCTGGTATTTCTCATTATTGTTCCCATTTTACAGAGGTGGACACTCAGGTTCAAAGAGATGCAATAACATGCCCATTTGCACACCAGTAAGTGGCAGAGCCAGGACCCAAACCCAGTCTCCTGACTCCGGGAACTGCACAGGTGGGGGTGTGGAAGTTGAGGGGATGCAGGTTTTTCTGTTAATGCTCCACCCTGCCTTGGATCCCCTCCTACTACTGTTGCCACACTAAACCTAGGGGATGGCTGGTACTTTGCTTTCTTGGGCTATCTTCAAAACCACTTTTCTCTTTTTTTCTTGATGCATCTGAAAGAGGGTGGAACATTCATAAGACACTTTGGTAAAAAAACAAACAAACAAACAAAAAAAACCCAGAAAAACCAAATGAGAGACAAACCAGGAAAATTTTTTGCAAATCTGTATTCTTCCTCCTGAGATCGTTTGATGGGCTAGCGCCACAGACACAGAGCACCTTTGCAGTGCCACACCGGGAAGGAAGAGTCCAACCCAGAAATGCTCCTCTTGAAAGCTCTTGGAAAACTTTTTGTTCTGCTGCTTGCAGGGTAATCCTCACTGGCCTAGGCAGAATTGTCAGTTAAGAGCTTCTCCCAACTGAGAGTGGCCAAGATTAACCTCAGCACTCAACACCTCCACATCTTCCCCGTTAGGTTCCCACTGCCCCAGCCCTTCACCCCACACATTTTCTGCTGTCTGCTCCCGTTTTCTGCCCAGGCCTGCCCTTCCTGGGCCATGTCACAGGCTCCAAAATGCTTCCATCTTCCTCCTATCAACAGAAACTTATAGCAGTGTAACATGTTACCTCTTCCCAGCATACACTTGATTTGAGCATTTCCCTGAAACTTTTGCCTCTCCTATTTTAGGTAACTCTTCCCCCATTTAGAAAACGGTGCAGAGAGTTCCCCCAGCCTTCAAACATTACAGACTGGCTTTTTAGCCTTTCTGTCCTACTCTTTCTCCCCCAAACAAATCTTTCTGAGTACATAAGAAATTTCCTCCTGTTACCTCTCTTCTAAAGATTTTCCTTGGCCGGGTGCGGTGGCTCATGCCTGTAATCCCAGCAGTTTGGGAGGCTGAGGTGGGCAGATCACAAGGTCAGGAGATCAAGACCATCTTGCCTAACACAGTGAAATCTCATCTCTACTAAAAATACAAAAATTAGCTGGGCGTGGTGGCACATGCCTGTAATCCCAGCTACTCAGGAGGCTGAGGCAGGAGAATTGCTTGAACCAGGGAGGCAGAGGTTGCAGTGAGCCAAGATGGCATCACCGCACTCCAGCCTCGGCGACAGAGCAAGACTCTGTTTAAAAAAAAAAAATATATATATATACACACACACACACACACACACACACACATAATTTATTTATTTATTTATTCCTTGTCTCCAGAGGAGAGGGGGAAAACGTAAGACAGATGGGAGGGCTTCCTCTTTCAGTGTCTTTTTTTTCTTTCCTTCTATGATCTTTCCTAATGCATATGTTGCCCTGTCTTCAACAAGACATAATTCGTTAGCCCTTGATTTCTGCTCCCCTCCTCCAGCACAAAACATTTCAGACTGATTGGACTTACAGTTTCTTTTCTTTTTATTACGTAGATGTTTCTTCCCTGCTGCCCCAAGTAAAGAATGCCTGAGAGTATAACATATTTCCTGTAGAATAAAAGCAAAGAAAAACCGGAACCACAGTGGAATTTTAGCAGACACTGAAGTAGTTGGAAGGGGAAGACGATACTGGATTGTGGGACAATCTGGTACCCATAAAGTTATAGCCCTTAGACTGGCCATGGCTGCCAGTCTAGCCTTTATTTGCAAGGACTCGACCAGGTATGAGGAGAGAAGCCAGACACCCTGCCTCTGGGCTGGGCCTGCCAGACTGGAATCTCTTGCTAACCAAAATCCCCTTACCTGCTCCACATTCTAGATGAATATTCAGAGTGACTTTGTGGGTAAAGGAATCCTTCACTCTATCACTTTCAACATCCCACAGGGCTGTGGGGCGAGAGAGATGATGTAGAGTTTGCAAGGTGGAAACCTGTAATAATATTGAGACCATAGCAAGCCGGGCTTTGCATTTGGTTACAGACTTTTGTCCAGCAGAGTCAATTATTGTCTTCATTTAGGACTTCTGATTGCTGTCTAAAGCCAGACAACTTGAAGACTAGGTATTCTGGGTCTTTCTGAGTTTTATGTACTGGGGTTTTATGTACAGAAGAAAGAGAATTGGGTTTTACATACAGAAGAAAGAGAATTGGAGAGAATTTTATCTTGTTGAAGGCAGGGCAGCATGTACATTGATAAGGATGTTATCATCCTTGGAGCTTTTGTTAGCTATTTGCTGCCTTAGGCTGTTGCTAGCAATGAGATGATATTTCTTCATAGTAAGCATGGAGAGGAGTTATCCACTTCGTGGTCTTGACATGGTTCATGTTAATATGATGGCAACTTTAAATCAATTTTCTCTCTAACTCTGTAATGCATCAGAGAACCCTTAGTGGGTACATGGCCCTTTTATCCACATATATAACTTGGAGGAAAGTGTATATTTCTTTATTCTAGGGATTGGAATAAAACTTCAAAATCTAATTTGTCTTACTATAACAAATACCACCTGAAATAGTCATATAAATAACTATGGCTTAAGAAAACTATCAAAAGTATGTGTTTCCTTAATATTTTGACTTTTAAGGTAGATAAGTCTCAAACTGAGCTATAAAGGAATCTGTGTGTGTGTATGTGTGTGTATGCTGTGTGTATGTATGTGTGTGTATGCTGTGTGTGTGTATGCGTGTGTATGCTGTGTGTGTGTATGTGTGTGTATGCCGTGTGTGTGTATGCCATGTGTGTATGCTGTTTTTGCAGTTTATGGATGTAAGGAACTCTCTCTGAAATGTGTGCTTGAGAGCCCTGGAGCTCAGAACTAGACTTTGCTACTGACCTTATACTTTCATTTGAGGATTACCTAAGTTTGGTATGATTCGCAGCATTCTTTTTACATTTTCCTCAATAATCGTGATTTAAAATTTACCTAATAAAAGACAACTTCAGATTCCTAACGTTCAGGCTCTAAGATATCTGGGGAGGGGGTGTCCAATATTTTGTGAACAGCTCTTTGAGACAATGCTGCTGGAACCATCCTGAAGAATGACAACGGAGAATAATGTTTTTCCTCTTCTCCAGCGGTCTGCCCCAAGTAACCCGCTCTTGCCCCACTCTTTACTTCAAGGTAACCCAGAACCGGTAAAACCAGAGGCACAGGTGCCACTAGCATTGCTACAGGTCGGGAACTGAGCAAAACAGACACTCACTTACTCCAGCCTCTTTCTTTTCTCTTTCTGCTTCCTGCCCACTTCATTCTTTTCCCTGCATTCTTTCTTTCCTCTCTGCTCACTTTGTCCCCTCCCATTTGGAGAAATAAAGCATTGAACTGACCCTTCACGTATTCATCTGCCATTCTATAACTCATCTTTATCTCCAAACATCCTTTCTAGACTATTGGTTTTTACCCATCCCCTCTCTTTTGGTATCATCTTCTGGAATTCCTGGGATCAGGATGTCATCCTATCACTCCACTAATAGCACACATGGCCTGCTTGCAGTCAAATCCAAAGCCTTTTTCTTCACCCTTTACTTTCCTCGGAACCTCTGCAGCACTTCTTGATAATTTCTGGCAGCCTTTCTTTCCTGAATCTTCTTTCTCTGTAGCCACTCTGGTTTCCCTTCTACCCCATGGACTGAGTGCTGTGCTCTGCTTCACCAGCCCTAACTGTGTGTTAGTTGGGTGTCTTAAGTAGGATGATCATGTAATTCTTTATCCAGACCATGATATTCTTGAGAATTGAAGGGTGCTCAATTGACAACAGACAATAAACAGAGATTGTCCCTGGCAAACCGGTATGTCTGGCCACCCTCTCCTTAAGGCTCAGGAGGAGAAGAAAGCAGAGAGATCTCAGGGCAGGATATGAATGAACATAGTTCGAGGAACTTTCAAAGTCCATCTTCAGGTTTCTTAGTTACTTCTGTTTAGAATCTCAAGTTAAAAATTCAGCTTCATGTTCATAAAAGGGTCACGTTTTCTGAGAAGTGTCAGAGCAGGTTTGGGAGAGAAGAGATGGGTGAGGAGAGAGTTCTACCTGAGGAAAAGGCAGAAGTGGTTGGACCAGGTCCCGCAGTCCTCCCTGAGTTCCAGTCACAGAGTCTGCCCTTTTAGGTAAAGAGGAACTTGGCGCTGAAACCGCTTCCAGGCTCTTCTCAGCCCAGGGTTGCCCAAGATCAGTTGTATTGAGTGGCCGGCAGGGTAGGCAGCCATGATGATCTTGCACAAAATATTCCAGGAACTGTAAGTGTCAAAGATGTTGGACATGGAAAGAAATAGAGCAACTGCATTGAAAATGTAGAGGATGAGAAAGTAGCTGGTGGCTTTGATGGCCCCTATGTGAGCCTTCATGCTGGGGTCCCTGGACCCTGTGGCATTGCTTCCCATGTGTAGGGTGTGTCTCTTGAGAGAGAGGATCAGCAGAGTGGCTGCCAGGATGAACATGATCAGAGGAATGAAGATCCCTATGTTATAGAAAAATACCAGGTTGACCATATTGGTCTCAGAGAAGTACTTCTTCTCTGTGGAGTTGTAGGAGGCGATAGGAATGGAGCTATTCACATACACATTGAAGACATCTTTTGAGAGAGGAAAGCTGAAGCTTAAGGAAACCAGCACTGACAGCCCGAGGAGCCAAGGCATCAGCACTATGATTTTCCTCTTCATCAGGAAGAACAAAGGATGATTGAAGTTTGCAATTCTAAGACAATAGAAGACTTTGAGCCAGGCAGCAAACCAGAGATTGGAATGGTTCAGAAAGACAATGATGACTTTGAAGAGGATATACACTGTGTTTTGGTTATAAACAATTCGGAATAGCAGACTGAAAATGTTCTCCAGCATCATCCAAATCTGTAGCAAGAGCCTGGAAAAGCTCAGCATCAACATAATGCAGTCACCAGTGGGGAGTGTTTTGCCCCTGGCCCACTCAGCCCCATAGATGGCCGTGATGAAGCCACTCCCAAGGATGCCAGTGATGCACTCTATTCCGGAGACCACCAAGGTGAAGATGACCTTGAACCTGGATATGTCTTTGTCTGTGGCATCTGTGTTCATGGTTGCCATTCTCTTTGATCCTGACTTTCAGATTTCTATGCCAAGAACGGGTAACTGCTCTGCAATCTTCTGACCCTTGCTCAATGTTATTGTAATTTCCGCCCCCCTCATTAATGGTTATTTCCAATTTTTCTCCATTTGTTTATCACATGACGACAAGTTAGATGTTTCACATGCAAATAATGAGAGGATCTGGTTACTGGGTCTGTCTCAGTTTTTCATAAAGATACATTTGTCTTGGGCTTTCAGAAGCTCACTGGAAATAATTTGAGACATGTTTCTAGCTCAATACCTTCCTACCTTATTTACTTTAAGTCCACATTTACCTGATAAGGCATGAATACAAGGCCTTTTTACTTGTCTCACAAGATCTCTGTTACCTGCTAAATTATTTGTAAAAGCTCATACAGCTTTTAAAATCTGTTTTCTCCACTTCTTTTCTTGTCTCTCTTATTTTGGGAGAGAGTTTTATTTTGATGGTTACCATGTTTGTGAATAAGAAATTCCCACACGCTCATATATGAACATCTTTTACTTAGACTTGAGTTTCTTCCAAAAAGGCCTGCTATTATAATGTCCTCAAATAGTATACAGAAAAGCCAAAATTGGATGCCATTCAAGTTGGAGACAAGGAAGTCTCCATAGTCCCAGTTTTTATTGTTTGTGTACGTGTCATCAATTTCAGCTTACTGAGATCCCACATGACTATTTGAGCTCAGAATCAGGTAGAATGAGCCTGGGGAGAATTCAGTGTTTTGGACTTGGTGTTGAAGTTCAGAAATATGATAAGGTACTATAACTTGAAATTTAATTTCCTACTTTTTAACCCTGGCTGTGAACCAGAATGGTAGATGCCCGGGACTCATACAAATCTAGGAAATCAGAATCTGGACTAGGGCTCAGGCATGCTATCTTTTAAAAAAGCCAAAAGGTCTTGTTGCTCATAGTCAGGATTGAGAACCAAAATCTTAGCTAGAAACCAATGAGCCTTGGGTCAGATTTGGCCTGTAGTCTTTTTACTTTGCATTGGCTAATGCTATACAGCATTAATCCACCAGTGTGTAACTTTTTTTTTTTGAGGGGTTCTATTGGCCAACATTTAAACTTAGGAGATTACTTATATGCACACACAAAAAATCTATCTTCTCTTGAAAAATTAGAAGATTTGGCATAGTGAATTGGCTGAAGCTGAGTAGTGGCTGCCCATTTTAAACAAGGCATATACTTTTCAGTTTGTTGACAATACTAATTCCTAGTGTCTTCTTGACACAGAAGCTGAGTGCCAGTTATCATTTTCCAGTGTGCTTGCCCTGTTATTTTTATTTGATTTATTTTTTCTTTTTGAGACTGGGTCTCACTTTGCCACCCAGGCTGGAGTGCAGTGGCGTAATCATGGCTCACTGCAGCCTTGACCTCCATAGCGCAAGTGATCCCCACACTTCAGCCACTTGAGTAGCTGGGACTACAGGTGCATGCCACCACACCTGGCTAAGTTTTGTATTTTTTGTGGAGACAGAGTTTCACCATGTTGGCCAGGCTGATCTTGAATTCTTGGGCTCAAGCAATCCTCCCATCTCAGCCTCCCAAAATACTGGGACTGTAAGTGTGAGCCACCATCCCTGGCCTTGGTCCATTATATTTTTTTATAATATAAATGGATGAATGATAAAAATGGATTTCCCCACCCCAAATTAATTTTATTTAAAATAAGGAAGTTGGCTCGGCTCAGTGGCTCATGCCCGCAATCCTAGCACTTTGGGAGGCTGAGGAAGAGGATTGCTTGAGCTCAGGGGTTTGAGGTCAGGTTGGGCAACATGGTGAAACCCCGTCTCTACAAAAAATACAGAAAATTAGCCGGGCATGGTGGCACGCACCTGTGGTCTCAACTAATCGGGAGGCTGAGGTGGGAGGATCCTTGAGCCTGGGAGGTGGAGGTCTTGGTGAGCTGAGATGGAGCTACTGCACTACAGCCTGGGTGACAGAACCAGACCCTGTCTCAAAAATAAATAAATTAACTAAATAAGGAAGTCAGAGATTTATTATTATTTTAAAATGCCTTATGTTATTAGATCATATTTGTATAGAAATAAGCACCAGGCAAAGCAATATATTTCAAAATTAAGAAAGCATTGTTTAGAGAAATTAAAACTTATGTCAACACAGAGATTTGTACAAAAATGCTCACAGCAGCTTTATTCATAATAGTCAGAACTGGAAACAAGATTTTTGGCAGGTTCTACATCTCCTGTAAGAGACTCATTAACTTTGGTTAGTTCTGTTAATTGAGGACAGTAGCATTTGTCAGCAGCTTTCACGTATTCCGAGGCATCAAACTCACTGTTTGGTTTATTTTCTCCCAACATATGCAAGTTTGTAATAAATGGTATCTCCCCAAATTTCTGGCACACAATCGTTGACTTCCATTGTTCTGGAACTGTTTTCTATTGGTTTTCATTCATGTTTTTCTCTGATTTTAAGAGGTGGGAACAGAAGGAGATGTTGGGCAGGGTCTACCTGCAGCCTCAGAAGCTCAGGCAAGAGGAGCAGGGAGGGAATCAGCCACTGGGGTGTGGGACTGTTGCTGAGGCTGTATGCAAGCTGGCCGTCTAGGCTGACAACTCCAAGCCACTCACAGCACCACATTTACAGCTATGTGGGGCCAATTCATTTTTATTCCATATTTTCTCATTTGGAGAGCTAGAATGGAGGCATCGTCTCTACTTTAGGGAAGTTCTTTTTTTATTTTTATTTTTGGAAACAGGGTCTTGCTCTGTCACCCAGACTGCAGCACAGTGGCACAATCTCAGCTCACTGAAACTTCCCCCTCCCAGGTTCAAGGGATTCTCATGCCTCAGCCTCCCAAGTAGCTGGGATTGCAGGTGTTTGCCACCATGCCTGGCTTATTTTTGTATTTTTAGTAGAGATGGGGCTTCACCATGTTGGTCAGGCTGGTCTTGAACTCCTGGCCTCATGTGATCCACCTGCCTCACCCTCCCATAGTGCTGGGATTACAGATGTGAGACCCTGCGCCCAGCCTAGTTTACGGAAGTTCTCATGGGGTCTTCAAGAAACAAGTTTCAAATTCTTGGCTATGAAGTTTAAAAACTTTGGTCCAGGCATAGGATAGAACAGATTGGAAGAATAGGTGGTCAGGGAAACATTTTTCTTTCACATCTCTCTCCATCACCACCATGTAGACTAGAAAATGCTTTCCCAGTTGGAGAGGAATGAAAGAAGAGGAGGCAGGAAAGAACCAGAGAAGGTAAGGATCTCTGTTGAAGGGGTCTCACACCTTGGCCCACTGCTCATGGCTGCATGGGGATGTCAAAGGCAGTTAGACTGCAAGAGAGCCCCTGAGTCCCCTGCAGCCCGTCCACACTTGGGAGAGCTGTTCAACCTTCCTTGTGTTCACAAAAGGAGTTTGGAAATCTGCTAAGGGAGTTATTGGATTCCATGGGGTCTAGTGGCCATATCAAGGAGACTTTGCAAGCATGACATCAAAGTGTGGACATGTGAACTGACATCAACGTAAGGACAGAGGAATGATCACAGTATAGACTCTACATCCCACCTTCATGCCAAATCTTAGAGTGACTCCCAAGGAGCAGAGATGTCACTCATGGAAGACAAGAAGGAGAAAGGAGAAGGGATAAACACAACATGTTTCCCTCCTCTAGTTTCAGTGCCCCACTCTGTGCTTCCCATCCAATTGTAATGTCCTGGGCAGGTTTCAAATGTTCGTCTTCTTTTGGTTATTAATAGTCCAGTTTAGTTTCATAGTTGGTTTAAGTATTATCTTATGCCTTTCCCCAAGCACAGTTTTAGCTGAGACCCCATCTGCTAGGATTGGGAGGAGACAAGGTGGACCCTGAGACATCCGTCTCTCCCTCTTCAGTTTTTGGCTGGGTGTGTGAGAGAGAGGACAGGCAGAAGAGTCTCTTTATTTCCCTGGCTGCTGTTGTAAATGCACTCTCTTGTGTTGCTGCTGCTCCCCTGGCCAACACCATCTGGCCCTCCTTGCCTTCCGGGTGCCAGACATCCAGATGTTGGCTGTCTTGTGAAGATCTCATGTGAGTCTTGAGGAGGCTCTGCAGCAACGCTTCACTCTGCTGCCCATAACTCCAGTAGGTCCCCCTTCTCCCTCCCTAATCTTTCTATATATGCAGACTCAGGTGGAGGGCTGCTGCTGGGGTCCTGGCCATTTGCAGGTACTGCTGCCTCTTATTAACCTTTGCAGGTAGATATTTGGCCTCAATTGTTGGCTGCTTTCTTTAGATCTGTTTTTCTCAACCCTGTCGACATCCTGGAATTACCCTTATGACTGGAAGGGCTTTTGCAGAGCGCCTATACCCATGTCCCGCCCTCGAAGATTATGAATAATTGTTCTGCAGAACAGCTAAGCATTGGCATTTTCAAAGCTCCCTACTGTGATTCTTATATGAAGCAGGACAGGGTTGAGAATCACTGTCCTTTGAGGGGACTTACCCTTATGGTTTATAGTATGAGCTCTAGGGTTACTTGGGGCAACAGGAAAAGTGGCCCTCAATATCCTTGTGGAAGTGACTGAATGACTTCCTGAAGAAGACTAAGAGGACATATCCTTTATCAGGTGGTAGGAGACCAGATTCAGAGGTTGAATTATAGAAAATAATTATAACATTTTGCAGAACTGGGTTTTTGGTGGTGTGAAGTCACATCTACCCTATAGTATTAGAAAAGTAGCATATTTCTTGTAGTCATATCTTTTTGAAAAGTAGGAAAAGGAAGATAGACTGAGGGAGTCATGTGTTCCTCCTGTGTTCCTCACAGAACCCTCCTGTGTGCATATTTGGCAAAAGATGTAATTTAAGGAAACAGTCTAGGTGCCATTATGAAATAAGCCACTGGAAGAACAAAGAAGAGGGCCATAGAAGAGACATGCGATCAAAACCTAAGGAGCTGAAGAGAGAATTGAAATGTTAACAAGGTTTGTCTTGGTTGTTTAAGAAATAAGAAGTCATAAATAAAAAATTTGCCTGGGACATCAAATTCTTCACAGATAGCAAGTTGTAAAAAAGAATCTACTGAATGTAGCGGAAATTGCACGTCCTGAAAAGATATAAACACGTGCAAATGTAAATGTAACTAGAAATACCGTTGCTCAATGCAATGGAAATGTGACTAAGATATGAAAAGAAAAATCATGTGAAAAAGTTTTAAAATGGTGGCATTTGCTATTGCAGTTGGTGAAGATACATATTTAGTAATACTTAGATGCAGTGATGAGCTCTATTAACCACCATAGGGCTTATGAATTTTTATATGACTGAAAAATATTTTGGACAGTGTGCTCAAGACAGACACAATCTTAGGAAATGATTAAGAAAATAATTTTTGTGTATAGAGGAAACTTCCAAACAATTTAATGCAGTAGATTTGTGTGCCTATAGGATGATATTCCTGGGATGAGCAGTGTTTATATCAGACTTGCAATAAAACTTAAACTCTAGGTGGCAAATTATATAAAGACACAGGCTTTACATCTACTTACTTGCATTATTTAGCAGGAATTGCTTTCTGCTAGAAGTTAAAAATTGACGATGTCCCGAACACAGCGTTCATACTGTGAGCTGGATCTCCTTGTAGGGCTTCATGCACAGAGTGTTGAAGGCACCGTGTGATGAATTGGACACACAGCATGGCAGTCTGCTCATGACACAGAGGGTGGGGGCTTAGTCATGGCAGAAAGCAAAGGAGCATTGTTGAACAGTTGAGAGAAATGAACTTATTCACATCACTGGAGGGAAAAAAGCTTTGCTTATGTTAAGCAGCAAAGATTGTTATCATAACACCGAGCTTTGGGGTAGACAAACACTTTGAATATTTCCCTGCAAAGGCACCCACAAAGCAGTTATAAAACGTAGAATAGAGTCTGCTGCCAAGGGTGTTAAAAAAAGAAAAAAAAGTTATAGGAGGCCATATCTGGCATCGTTATGAAGTCTTCTTTTCTGTGGTTGGAATTAGTTTCTAGAAATAAAACTGATGTCCTGAAACCTGTGATAAAAATTGTGATACACTGAAAACTGATTTCTCAAAATGGCTTGTTGATTTCAGACTTTGTGAAGATAGCCTCCCATTGTTCAATCCACCTTGTCAATTCCTACTTATAGTGTGAAAAATGATTCATGGTGTGATATAGGATTGGACATTTTGTACAGTGACACTGGAATGCCAAACTTCTACAAATATCTTCACAGTTGTACAACGACTCATATTTAAAAATATCTACTTTTTTGAACAGCTCTCTTCCAGTATTAAACTAAGTAGGACTAATTATCACTTGTAGTTAATGGGTCCTAGTCAAGGCTGAATTCTGTTTTCATTATATAACTTAACACAGGTTTAACAAGGACATATTGGTGCTGAAGAAAAAGTGAGCAAATAGTAAAGTAAAATACTAGAAATTAAATATTTATATTTTATCTTTTTTCAATTTTGAATTTAAGATACAATCTT